CACGGAGAGGCTGAGGGAGCTCAGCTCGTCCTCCTGAATCCCACCCTGGCAAGATGGGCACGGTGCTGACGTGGGTCTGGGGAGATGGGTCCCTTCTCCTCTCCCTCCTCTTTTTCCCCCAGCCCCCCGAGGACCCCCCTTCCCACCTGTGTGTGTGTGTGTGTGTGTGTGTGCTCGAGGGAAATCGGGCATGGGGTGGGCACAGCCCCCTCCTCCCCAGCCCCTTGGTGCAGGCAGGGTCTGGTCTGCAAAGCACAAACTTTGGGTTTTTTGGTCTTCTCCACCATACCCTGGCTGGGTGGGCTCCCGCAGCCCTGGGCAGGGGCACAGCAGAGGGTGGTGGGACAGCGATGGTGCCACTGAGCTGGGCCTGAGCTGCACGTAGGGAAGTGGTGCCCACGCTGGCGCTCCAGAGGTTGTTGGCATCTCGAGGGGTTGGTTTGGAAGCAGGACAAGCAGCCTCCTGAGTGGGACAGGGGAGGACAAGCAGCTCCCTGGCACCCACCCAGCTGCCCGTGCTGCTGGTGCCCAGCACTGGGGCAGAGGAGCATTTCCACACCTCTCACTGCTGCTGTTGTGGTGGGCACAAGGGTCTGCTGGAAGAGGGGGAGCAAAGCTGGTGCCACGGGAGACAGCCGAGGCCCTGTGGGTTTGGGAGGACCACTGTGCACCACTCCAGCCCAGCTCACTGCCAACCAGGGGCTGAGGAGATGCCAGCTCAGGCTCCAGGCATCCCCCGGGCACGCAGTCAGCTTGGCCAAGGCAAACTTTGGTTCTTCTTTTTTTCTCCTCTCTCTTTTTTTTGGAAATAAATGAAACCCCTCGACTTGTTGGTGTTTTTACAGCTCTGGTGTGGTTCCCACCTGTCTGACCGTGTGTCGACCTTTGTACCATTGGCAATAAACCATTAAAAGTGACTTTCCCACGAGCCCTGCCTGGCCCAGCTCTTTGTCTTGTGGCAGGGGGGTGCTGGTGGCTCTGACAGGTGAAGGATGAGGAGCACCCAGGGATTGATCCAGAGGGCAGGACAGACTCCCCCCCTCCACACAGGGGTCCCAGGGTGCTCCAGCCTTGCTCAGGGGGGAGCAGACCCTGAGCCTGGGCTGGGAGGCTGCTGCCCACCAGGCGGGGGCTGGTGCCACCACTGTGGGGAGTTTGAAGGGCAGGCGTGCAGCTGGGTGCCAGCCCAGCAGAGCCCAGCACGAAGCACACGCTGCCTCCAGCTGCTGCAGGCTGTAGCTTTAATAGGACTGATTTTTATTTTTTAATATACATATATAGGTATTTAAATAAATTTCTTATTTAACAGTTAGTATCAGCCAGCCAGGAGCCACGTGGTAAGATGGTCCCTGGCGTGGGGTCTTCCACTTCTGCTTGCTCACACACACACACATACATGTGGGGAGAACCCCCCTCATACACTCACTGGGAGAGGAACATCACAGCAAAGGGGCTTGGGGACAGAGATTTGCTGTCCCTTAGGCCCTGGGCTCCTCCCAGGCCCATGCTGGGCCTCCTCCCTGCTTCCAAGACCACAAGGCTCTCAGTGGCCCAGCCTGAGCAGGGTGGTGGGACCAGATAACATCTAGAGATCCCTTCAACCTCAGCCATTCTGGAGCTCTGAGGCTGCCCTAGCTATTTCTGGTGCCATCCTCATCCCTCCGTCAGGAGAGGGTCTCCTTGTGGGAGCTGCCCTCAAGCAGCCCAAGCCTGGTGTCAGACAGAGCCAGGAGGAACAGGCAGGGTTCCTGAACTCCATCCCACCTATGCACACCTGAGCTCCTGAGCAGAGAAAGCCATGGCTGGTGCCCTGAAGGTCATCCTCACCTCTGCCCTGCAACTCCCCCGACCCTGAGCAAGGGACACGCTGCTGTCAGGAGCAGCCCTGGACAGATCCTGCCCTTCCCTTCCAATATTCAAGTCATCTCAGCCACCATGGCCACCTGGTGCCTACTGCCCTCAGGGCCAGGCTCTGCTCTTCACTCACCACTGAGATCCTGCTGACTTGGAACAGACCTACAGGAAAAACAGACACCCCAAACTCCACGTATGAAACGGAGAAGGAGGAACCACAAAACACAAGATTCCTCCATGAGGGTTGCAGTGGAGGGGGCAAAAACCAGTGGCCTGTGAAAAGGGTCCCCTGCACCCAGGCTTCCCCAACAGGTCCTCTTCTCCCACACAGAAATCTCTGGGTAGAAGGAGGAATTTGTGCCTCTGTTGAAGATTTCTGGGTGCTGTGCTCATGCCAACGTGATGCAGGCCTGACCTGACGTGCTGCAGAGTCAGGAGGTGCAGTCAGGTGGGGGAAAAGAGCACCCCACCAGGGCTGGGCATGCAGCACCTAGGCAGCAGAGCCAAGGTCCAGCTCAGGATTCTGCCCATGGCACTGTGGGAGCCTTGCCTGGGTCCAAAAGCACCAACGTACCTCACCTAGAAGAATTTGGCCCCTTGGTTAAGTGGTGATAGCCAGCTGAGGAACTTCTCTCTGCAGACCAGCTGCTAGGTGGGAGATGAGCAACAGTGAGGGAAGCAGGAAGAGAAGAGGACAGAAAACAAGACCCAGAGATGGGGCAGTGCCCTGCCAACAGGGATGTGCTGAGAAAGGCTCCCAGGGAGCAATCTGGGGAGCTTCTGCAGGAATCTCCAGCACTCCCCAAGTCCACAAACACCAGACACATGTGCCCTGGGGAGCTAGAAGAGGACATCTCCCTGGAAGGGATCCCCGAGCTCCTCTTTAGCTCTGAGTTGTGACTAGAAACACTGGTACAGTCACACCCCCCTGCCTAAGGGCCAGGAATAAAGGGACAACATGAGGGAGAAGGTCAAGGGCCAAAAGAGAGAGATGTAGTTTTGCAGCCTACAAAGACCCAGGAGAAGAGCAGAGCAGGAGGACAAGGGACAGCTGCACTGGAGAAGTGGTGTCCCTAAAGGTGACCACGTAAACATAAAGGTCCCATTTGTGTCCCATAAAGGTGACCATGGGACACGACAGGGTGGGAGAGCAAGACTGGAGTGCACTGCTGAGCATGTGCCTCTCTTGGCACTGGAAAACAGGTCTGGCCAGTGCTGGCCCTCTCTGAAAATGTCTCTGGAAGCATGGTGGAAAGCTGAGCACTGGGTAGGAAGGAGACTTGCTGTTTTTACACTGCCCCACCTGTGGACACAGGAGTGGTAGGACTGTTGGGAAGCCTTCTGCCCCTCGATGGCTCCACAGGGTGCTCCACAGGCACCAGGCACCCAGGGTCCTCCAGCTGCACCAGGCAAGGTCTGACATGATGCCTTCTGCAGAACGTGGACCATAAAGCCATGGCAGCTGGTTTTTTTTTGAAAGCTAAAGAGAGAATTAGTTTCTTCATGCACCTGAGCAAAGCCCAGAGCAGGAGCAGAGTAATTTTAGAACTGTCATTGCCAGGTCACCTGCAGGGACTGGCACAGTGTGGCACCAAGGTGAAGGACATGGGGAGCCTCTGTTAGGATGCACCAACCTGGTGACCCCTTCCCACCACGGGCTTGAAGCAAGCAGCCCTCCTGGTCTCTCACTTCAGAGCAACTCTGGTGAGAGCACCCAGGGCCTCAGCAGCCCCACCCTCCCTGGGGAAGGTGCAAGAGGGACAGAAAGGTGAGAAGAGTTAGGAGAAACAGAGTGAAGAGGGGAGGGAGCAGGGGGGCAACACCCACCCACCCCTGTGCCTGGCCCTTTCACAGGCTTCCTGACCAAGAAAGCACCAGCATGGCCACCCACCACAGACCAAGGGGGAAGTTTTCCTGGAGGGGAGGCGGGTCTGGCCCCACAAACCCCAGATGTAGCTGGGGGTGCTCAGCAAAGGCCCCTCCTGCTCCACGCCCATCGCGCGACGTCCCCGCCCGCTCGGGGAGTGCCTCACTTCTGGTGCCCCCTGAGCAGATTCCTCGATTGAAGGTGCTTTTCCTGGCAGGGGGAGAAGGGGGGATGGGGCAGGGCTGGGGGGCCGTGGCAGTCAGCACTCGTTTGCCCTCTCTGGGAAGAAGATCTCTCGGCAGCGCTGGACGGTTTCCTGGGGGCACTGCACGCTGTGCCCCACCGTGCGTGGGTCGTCGTAGATCTCGTAATCGTTCCCTCCCTGCAGGGAGAGAGTCAGCAGGGTCTCACCTGAGCATCCTCATCCTCAACCCACATCTCTGTCCTTCCTGGGAGGAGCTGGGAGGGCGAGGACCTGCTGGGAAGGTGCTGCCAGGGCTTTGCTGGCCCAAGGAAGCAGAAGAGCTCTGCTCTCTGCCTCTCGCCTCCCCTCATTTTGTGCCAGAATTGGAGCACAGAAAGGATGGGGAAGGTCCCAAATCATCAAAACTTGTCCAGGAGCCTGGGGTTAACCCCTGCCTGTGGAGAGGCTACCAGGTGGAATGGACACATATAGGGGGGCAAAGGTTGCCAGCATCTGGAAAGAGCTGAGGGGATGGCCAAGGTGGTCTACAGCAGCAATGAAACATCACCTTCCAGCACTCTAGAGCAAAGCCCTCTCCTACCTGCCAGGGACTCATGTTTGGGTCCTGTGGGCTGCAGGAGTCACTGCCCCCCTTCCCAAGGGTGCCATGAGGAGGAAAAAATGTGCTTTGGTGAACCTGCTCCTAAGCATGGTGAGTCCAGGGCAATTTCCCAACAACCCAGTGGACCTGTACCATCAAAAGCCTGCTGCAAACCCCTGCTGCAGGGGAGCACCTCTTCCCCTCCCACTGCCACAGAGGGACCCAGGCCGTGGGACCCATCTTGGGGAAGCTCCACGTGGGAAAGAGAGCAGCCACGTGTGGGGAGAGCAGGACATACTCACAGGGGTTGTCTCATTCCCAAAGAAGTGGATGGTGTCAAATCTCTCACTGTCGAGCACGTTGAGGCAGTAGCGCTTGTCCCAGCCCTCTGGGAAGACATCAAAGCTGATCATGCCACCTGCCAGCAGAAGGGAGGGCATCAGGACACGCTGGTGGCAGCCAGCAGGCTGTCCCCCCCAGCCCTGGAACAGGCAGGAGGAAGGGAGAGGGCTGGATATTCGTGGGAAGCCCTCACCCCAAAGAGCAGCCAAGCACCAGCTCTGCCTCGGGGTGCCCCGCCGGCATGTGGCTGGTGGGCGAGGCTGTGCTCATCGTGAAACACTGCGGGGGATGTGGCTGGTGGCAGAGTCTGTTCCCATGGCAACAGGCTGGGGTGACATCAGCACAGCTCTGGTGACATCAGCACAGCTCCCTGCCCGCTGCCAGGCGAGCAGGAGCTGCAGGGGGAGATCCCAAGGGATCTGTTAGGGGGGATCTGGGGTCACGCTCTGCAGACGGCATCAGCGCCTCGTGTGTCCTGACAGTGCACAAGGAGAGTGGCACCGAGCCCCTGCCAGGCTCCTGCCCACACCTCATGGCTCTCCCAAAACCACTCCTGATGCTCCTCAACCCTGCAGGGCCCAGCAGCTCCCAGCACCCTGCACACACAAAGCAAACCCCACGTGCTGCCCACGCTCTGCATGGAACCACTGGCACCGTCAGGGCACCACCCTGCCCTGTCCCCTCCTGCCACACGAGTCAAGGGTGTGCTGCCAACCCCTGGAGTGGCACCCAGGCAGGCAGGGGAAGCTGACAGAGGTGAGGGAGCTGCTTCAGAGAGCAGTGGACACCCACAGCCACCCAAGGGTAACCAACTCCCCAAGCCCCTGCTCTTAGATGGGGCAGAGTTTGCCCCAGCTCTGCCCTGCTTTTTTTGGTGGTGCTGAGGCAGCAGCTCCCCCACCCTCTCAAGCTGCCTGGCTGTGTGCTGCAGAGCCAGACCTTTGTCCCAGCACCAAAACAAGTGACATGCTCCTCCCAAAACAGAGCCTGTGACTTAGGGCAGAAGGATGTTTGGAGCCAGGAATGGGGATTTCAGCTGCGACGTGTGTCCTGCTGCCAGTTCAGGTCTCTGCTCCTCTCAGTTTCAAGGGGACCCTCTGCTTCTCCAGGCAATATACTGGGCCACCAGCAGTCCTGGAGTTTCATACTCTCATTCTTCATTAATTGTAACCCCACCTCTCTTAGGAAGGGGGTGAGTGGACAGGTACCCTAGGGGGATGTTCTCTGCTGCAGGGGAGGCACTGGATCAAACATCCATGTCCTGGTGCCTCTTCTCCCGGGCTGGTTGAGGTGTCCTCATTGGTTGGGGGATCCCAAACCAATCCTCCCTGGAGCCTGAGGAGCTGGGGATGGAGCCTGTGTGTCCAGCTCAGGACAGGATACCCCAGGCAGGGCACTGACAGATGGCAGCAAGCACCACTAAGCTCAGGGATGGGGATGCCCCTGGGCTCCCAGCAGAAGCCAGCATCAGAGCAGGAGCTAAACTTGGTCAACCTCATTAAAATCCTTCTTAGTTTTGTATCCAAAGCCATTTACCTGTTAAAATCACTCCATTTCACTGTGTTCTGGCCTTTTAAACAGCTGGGCAGCAAGCAGGTGCTCCTGATGCCAGCTGGAGAAGGTAGGACACCAAACAGAGAAGAGGTGGAGGACAGGCAGCACTGTCCCTCACCTAGGCAGAGGATGGGGCTGGGGGGCTGCAGGGAGATCTCCTACCACCTCTGGGGCTCGTGTCTTCCACAGCCTGGGACAAGGCACTCAGAGCTGGCTTGGCAGAGCCCCATTTCCACCTGTCCCTGGTTTTAGGTGCCTGACCTGAGACACCCTGAGTTTTCTCTGTGGAGGAGCAGGAGCCCCACAGTTCCCCTGGTCTTCTTGCTTTCACACCACAGGCCAGGGCTCTTCGTGGTGGCTTCCCAAAGTCAGAAGAGAGAGGCCCATTGTTCTGCTCTCATCCCCCAGGCCTGTGGGGACCTTGCCCTTCTCTGCTGTGACACACGGTGTGTGCCAGAGCTGTGGGCAGAACAGGGTGCCCCTGGTGGGGTGCTGAAGGGAGGGGAGGCTCTCAGGAGGAAAGCCCCGGGAGGACCAGACCCTGGGGTGTCACCTGCTGCCTCCCAGTCCCATCACCCCCTTGCCCTGTGGCTAGGTTGCCTCATGGCATCTTCCCATCTCACACGTAGCCAGCGCTTTGCTTCAGCCTCACCACACACCCACACACAGAGCCTCATCTTCCTCCCTGTCCTGGCCAGACCCCCAGGATTGTTCAAGCCCCTCCTTTGGTTCTTCACCTTCAGCAGGCTGGCTGTAAGAGCTTACCCCCACCCCAAGCAGTGGCCCTGCAGAAGGCCATGACCTAGAGCTCCAAGCTCCCTGCCTCTTGGCAGCTCTTCCTCTAGGAAGAAAAACATTTCCCTGGTAGCCAACCCTTCCAAAATCCTAGAGCTGAAATATGTCTGACACTCCTGTCTCCCATACACCACGGTGTTCCCAGAGAGGGCTGTCTGTGCCTGGAGCTCTGCTGGCCACCCTGCTGCTGATGCTGGAGCCAGGACAGAGCTCCTGGGCAGGGATGGGCTCTGCAGAGCAAACTGGGGTTCAGGCAGGGATCACATCAGTGGACAGAACCCCCCGTGTCTGGCTGATCCCCAGGGAGGCTCATCTGCAGCAGGGTTTGTCCTCTGCTGTGGGTGCCAACATGATGCCCCCATGGCAGCTCTCCAGGAACAGAAGCTCCTCGTGCTCTTAACAGGGTCTTCAGACCCTTGGAGGGCACAGCCAGGATTCCCACTCCCCTTCCCAGAATTTTACAGGAAGCACAATGAAGAGGCCAGGGCAGAGCCAGGGAACCCCCCTGCTCACCTCGAGAGAAGCGCAGCCCTTTGCCAGCAAACTCCCTCTGCAAGGCTGCCACAAACTTCTCCCGGATCCGCTCCTTCTGCAGGGGAGGAGGAGGAGGGAAGGGGAGGAAGGAAGGGTCAGAGCACTCCATGTTGACACTCTACCCAAAGCCACCACGTTGCGGTCTGCTGGGCAGCTCTGGCTTATCACATTTCCCCTTCCCACCTGCCCCTGGTGCAATGCCAGCGAGCCCAGTCCTGCCCACTGGCTGCACAGAGCAGCACCAGCTCAGGGCAGCACCACTCCCAGTCCTTCCTCGGCAAGGAAATGCAACTTTGCTTTGATTTCTCAGAAGCCCAGTTCATAACCCAAAGTCTTCAGCTTAAAAAGTCTTGCAAAGCCTTGAAAAGTCTCTCAACCCCAAGACTGTCCCCAGCCCCCTGCCCAGCAAGGAGTAAACTGCCTGGGGCATGGGCCAAGCACTCCAGAGATCTGCCCAGCAGATACTCTGTGAGCCTTCTAGTCTGGAAGACCCAGCAGTTCCAGCTCTGTTGGGGCTGGGGAAGCAGGGAAGAAAAGGCAGCTGCTGGGAAAATCTGGAAGGATGGTGCAACCAGAGAAGTTTAGGTCTCTCTGAGGTTTTCAGTGCAGTTCTATCTTTGGTTACTATAAACGAGGAGACACCCTGTTAAATAAGCGCCTCATTCTCTGGGGCTCTTCCACAAAGAACCCTGCAGGCCACCTTGTTGCATCAGTGATCCCCAATGACATAAAATTCATCCATCCATCTGTCTCCCCTTGGGTTTCTGCCCCCCAGGCCTGTTTCCACATGTTGTCCCAGCGCACAGCTTAGAGCCGGGCTCCTTTCTCCTGGGGAAGGGGGGAAGCAAGGAGGACCTGAGATCCGTGGTGACCCAAAACCAGCAGAGGGGAGGGAGAGGCCAAGCCTGGCCTCTGTACCTTGTCCAGCTCGGAGAACTCGACTCTCTCCTCAGGGGTGCAGCTCCTTCCAATGGGGGAGATGTTCAGCATCCCGTTGCGAAACTCGATGAAGGTCCCTCTGTGGGTGGGCAAAGGCACAAGGACACCAGGGCAGGGTGAGAGAAATGAACCTTGCCAGGGGAATGGCTGCTCAGTGAATGTGATAACTGCAAGGACAGTGCCTGGTGAGGCTCTGGCAGCTCCACCCCTGGAGGCTTTTAAGGAGTGTCCACTGTGGCAGGCTGGGTGAAGCCTGCAATAGGTTGATGGAACTGCTGGCCAGTGTGACTTGCTGCTGATGTCCAGCAGCAGGCTGCTGAGCAGCCAGGACCTCTCTTTGCTCTGCCCCCTGTTTCTCAGAGTCTGAGGGGAAAACTTTGCCCCTCCTGCCTTGTAGCAGGGTGAAGAACAGCCTGGGGAGTGGACACACGGGCAGCCAAGCCTGCAGCCCGGGAGCAGCATCTCTGCAGCACCAAGGGTTTGGTGGCTCCTGCCCAGGCCAAGACCTGGGAGATGTGGGTTAAAGTCCTTGTTTTGCTAGAAATCCTGTGAGCTTAAACCCACCCCTGGGAGCTGAACCTTCACCAGGCTGTTGGGCAAGCAGACAGCAGTGAGGTCAGCCTGGAGGGTTCTGGGTGCCAGCCTACACTTCTGGGGACCCGTGCAGCCAGCAGTCCTGCTGCAAGGAGCCACCCTGGCCCCTCTCACCAGTCCTCTTGTTGCCACATGGTGACTCACATCAGCCAACTACTCTGGGTTGTAGTTTAGCCACTCTGACCAGCTGAGTCCTGAGCAGGCAGCTCGCCTGCTCCAGCTCACTGTGCAAACACACAGGGAGGGCAGGAACCAACCCAGCAGAGAGAGGGGAGGGCAGAGCCACTGCTGCCAACAGCACTGCTGGCTCTCACCAGCCTCAGGGCTTTGTGAAAGCACTGCTCTGAGGGGTGGTTCCACACTGCACCCAGGCTGGTGTAACTGGTGCCTCTGGAAAGAGGTCCTCCTGCTGTCCCCTGCCACCTTCATGCCACTGTGATGGCAGAGTAAGCCACTCCAGTGGGAAACTATCCTTCTCCTTCAGAGGAGCTGCACCAACCCAGCTCACCCTGTGGCTGCCAGATCTTGGGGGAGGAGCAGACAGGAACCTGTGGTCAGGGGTAGAGCAGGGCCAGCCCTATCACCCAGGGCACCAAGCAGCACTGGGTTAGAAACCATGTGAAACTGTGCTCAGGGGCTGGACCTGCTGTCTGAAGAGCCATTGTCTGCTTGGAAACTCAGATGAGCAATGATGCCTGATGCCCTGACCAGGACAAGTTGGTACTATTGTCCTGAATGAGCTGCAGGCAGTGGCTGTGCCCTGATGCACACTGTGGCTGTGCCCTGATGCACACTGTGGCTGTGCCCTGCTTCCCAGGGAGGAAAATTTGAGGGGCAAAAGAGCAGGCACTATGCTCAAAACCAGTGCAGACTCCAGGACAAAGCCCTCCCATTATTCACCCACAGAGACCAGCTCGGTGGGACAAAGATCCTGCACAGGGTCTCTAGATGCTAAGACCTGGAGCACAAGTAGCTCAGCTGCTCTGAGGAAAGCTCTGGAGCCCAGAGCTTTCTAATCAGTGATGTGACTGCCATCCACGTGGGCTTGGGCTGTTACCGTTTCTTGGGCAGCTTCAGCAGAGCCATGTAGTTGAGACAGAAGTTGATTAGATCCTGCAGCAGCTCTTCCCCCAGGTGGTCTTGGATGGCCTGTGGGAGGAGAAAAGGGAGTGAGGAAGATGCTTGACTTCTCCAGGTCTTGTTCTAGGGTGGGCTTCATGGGGAGTGGAACGTGCAGATTTGGGATTTAGGGAGAAGAGGCTGCTCATCTGCCCAGGGCCAGCACGGGCAGGGCACAGGGGCTACACAGGGGTGAGGAAGAAGAGCTGCACCTACCTGCTTGGAGACCAGCTGCCCATTCTTGTACTGCACCGTGCCGTTCTCTGCAAAGACGTAGTCAAACTTATCGATGACTGAGGGGGGAGGAAACAAAAGAGGGAACGTGAGTGGGGCGTGGGAAAAGGGCCCAAAAGGACTGGGCTCAGGGCTGAGAGAAGCACCCCCCCGGGGCCTTAGCACCGTGCTTTCCACACCTCTCGTGCTCTGCAAAGGGCCACCAACCCTCCTTGCTCCCTGCAAAGCTGTCGAGGAGATTATCTGCTGCTCACAGGGGGGGAGCTGACGCACACAGGGGGAAATGACCTGACCGAGGTCACGGGCTGAATCAGTGGCAGAATGAAGATAAGGGCTCCAAAATGTCAGGCTTTCAACCATGTGCGTGTTCCTCCTCTCTCTATCCTCCACTCCCCGCTGCCAGGGTGCCGGGGCGATGCAGTTCCCGGTTATCTAACTCCAGCCCCAGCAGGGAATTCCTCCTTCCCTGCGCTGGGGAGCAGGAGGGGGCAGAGCTGGGAGCCCAGCCGCGCTCGGCATCCATGCCAGAGAGGGAAAACACGGTGGGGACAGCTGGGGCCGCCCCTCGCCCTCCCACTCCCTGCTCCGCCCGAGGGCGCTGAGGAAGATCCCGGAG